GTTCCCATTTTAGTTGGATTCAATCGCTAACATAGGCGTAAATAGTTACTAAATTTCGGCACTTTTTCTACTATATGAAAGCCTGTCAAGGAATTCCTAGGACCAGGGTAGGCGCCCAGAGTGGCACAGCGGTATTTCTGCGGACTTACAACGCTAGAATCCGGGTTTCGATACCCGCGGTGGGCAGAGCACAGATAACGCATTGTGTAGCTTTGTGCTTAATTACAAACAAACAAAGAAAAACAGGGTAGACATGACGTTATTTATGTGACACACATCAATATGAAGTCAAGCTCGGTAGAATCCGAATAGAAAAGCTGAGAAGACTCACGTGATCAAAGACATGGAATTGTATTCGCACCCTAACGACGCCTGTGACAAATATGTAAAAAATTAGCGCAAATCTATGCTAGTAAATTGTTATGAAAAAGCCTTTGTTAAAACAGACTGAAGATACCAATTATTTGTAGGGAAGAGGACGATTTTGCCTCAAAAGAAGAACTGGTGTGTATGCAATCACAAGGTCATCGTATGTTTTAATCTTTTATCCAAAGGCACCAATATGTAGAATGTTTGCTCAGTTATAAGTAGTGGATTCAGAAGGAATAGGTAGCATGTTCCGGGGAAAGGAAATTTTATATTTATTTTGTGTATCGCCAGTTCTATACGGAATAGTTTTGTCTTCCAGTGGTTTCCCGTCATATATGACGGGCTTTTACGCCAGTATGATACTAATAAGACAGACAATGTTCTGTCGAAACATGTAGTATGTCCCTTAATAATTAAATCATTTCATTGTGTTTAGAAATCATTGTTTGCCCACTTATCATTATATTATAGCTTCTTCATGGTTATTTTCAGGCTCGGAATATTATAGTTGTACTATTATGTAAAACGTAAGAGTAATAAACACAGATTCACACAAAACATTTCATCCGTTGTACATAATCAAACTTTTGTTTATTTTATTCACAACGTTTCACCAGGTTTACCAGGCATCATCAAATGGGACACAAGAACTGAGGCTAACAGAATTTAATTTAAAAAATTAATCACGTGAGAATCTATAACAATAGTAATCTACAAACATTTAACTGACAAATTGCAAACAATAAAGTAATTTATCAGTGAACTATGAAGTTTAGGTATAATAAATAACACTTTTAGGCCTGAGTCTAAGTATTGAAATGCGTTCTATATCCAAAAGTGAAGAGAATTAAAATAAATATAAATGAACACCTTTGTATTTGTTAAGAATAGGATTGTTCTTTTATTAATAGGGCTTCTTTTATTTTTCGTCTACCTGAGTAGAATCAAAAGAATGATTTTTACTACGTACACCTCATAAACTTATGCAAATTAAAGTTTTTGTTTTTAATATGTAATAAACATAAGTTTCTTGGAGTTGTGTTGTAGTACTTGTTTCTTAAACAGTCTTATCAGCACAACTGTCACATCTATTAAAATATATATTTTAATTAAGGTGGTTGAAATGAACTCGCAAACAAGTAATAGTGGCTAAACTTCTTTGAAAAAATATTTAAAAAATCACCCAACAGATATCTAATCCGCATTAACTAGGAACCAATTGACATGCTAGATTGCTAAATTTTTCACGTTCTTTCCTTTCGGTACTGAAGAACGACGTGGTACGTGTACAGAGGTTATGGTGTAAAATTTAACTATACTCTTTCACCGTGCATAAATTTGAAAATGCCTTCACATGTAGGAACAAGGTTTCGACTTTTACTACTTATTAACTCTTAGTATTTGGAAAGTATAAAAAAAAAAGCAAAAAAAAAAAAACAGACACACTAATTTTCCTTTAATAAATATTATTTGAAACTTATGTGGCAGACGAGGTGGCCGAGTGGTTAAGGCGATGGACTGCTAATCCATTGGGCTCTGCCCGCGTGGGTTCGAATCCCATCCTCGTCGATAATATTATACTTTTGTTCTATACATTACATGAACCAATGATAATCCATTTATATAATAAAATTTATTTTGTACATTTCAAACCAAATTATAGTTAATAACTAAATATTTTTCTTGAATATTATTAACTTTAAATGCTAGATTATTTTTCGTGAAAAGAACAAAATAAATTTAGTCACATTTCTTTAACTTGTTTTTAACAATCTAACTTATCATTTATTTTCTTGCCTTATTTAGACTTTAAAAAAGAAGAGTTTGATTACCTTCAAGTAATAGTGATTTCTATGTGGATCCTACATTTCCTGTACGTTTCACAAAAAAAAAGTGACTGTTCTCTCTTGATTGGAAATAAAATAAAAAATATTTGAAATGAGTTTAATAAACTTTAAATCAGCTAAAATAATGCTATCGCTGCTATCTTTTACTTTTTTGTTTTTAATAAACTTTAAATATCAGTGAAATATAATAGATAAGTAATTGCTTATTTCAGCAACAGATGGTACTGCAAGATATATTTTGTTTGTTTGTTGAACTACGCTCAAAGCTACACGAGGAGTATCAGTGCAAGCCGTCCCTAATATTAGGCTCTTCTTGTCAGACAGAATAGTAAGATTTGACCGTTACTCTTATAACGCATCCACAGCACCAATGTGCGGAGTGTCATTGTTTTTTTGACGATAATAGGATATGATCCACATAACTGAGATCCATTTATCGTCACGCTAACCATTGAGCCGTGCTCACCTCGAAAATTTATGCATATTATTTATTTAAATCTAGTGCTACACGAAACAAGAAAAAATAATATTACAAGCCCAGATAATGAGCCCTTAAAGTCTAATTATAAAACATTTACACTTTTACAAACTATCTTGTCTATCAGAATATCAGTGTGTATGATAGGTGTAACCAGTATCATGTTTATCCAAACATATTCAGTAAAAGACTAAATACATAGATAAATATAAAAGATGGTTTATCTAGATTCTATTTGTATGACTTCCAGTAAAAATTAAAACGATTAAGAGGTTAATCGCTATGAACTACTGGCGTGTGTGGGGAGGACCTTGCAGTGTAGCGTGATTTTATCACTTTTCTTAGGTTTAACACTAAATTAAGTGAAGATATATCAGTATATATCAATACATATGTATAAAAAGATGGTAACTCCTCTTGAGAAAACAAACAAACAACCTATGAACTGATTTATCAATTAAGAATATTACTTCTACAAAGCAAATAAATACACATACCGTACTTTTTTTTTCAGAGAAACTTGGCTTTTGATTTTTTAAACCTACAATAATGATTGATCTTTGTCGTGCCATTATATAATATAATTTCCAGCATGCTAAAAATGCACCTTCGTTGCCCTCCAGTGACACAGCGGAATGTCTGCGAACTTACAAAGCTAGAAACCGAGTTTTGATACCCGTGGTGGGCACAGCACAGATAGCCCATTGTGTAGCTCTGTGCTTAATAACAAACAAACAATTCAAAAATATAATACAATAATAGTTTTATAACAAAAGTTTTTTTTAAAAAACGTTGTACAGAATAAAACCTAAACTCTTGTTCAACCCTCTATTTAATTAGTATAATTAATCACTCTTACAGTTCGCCAAACTATTCAACTTACTTTGTAATTTAAAATCAAATACAATATTTAGAAACTTACACAAACAAGTATCTATGTGGTTTCGATGTAAAATTAAACCTTTAATTTTACACTGTACTATTTGAAGTATGCAAAATTACTATCTTTTTCTCTACATAATACCTATAAGTGTATTTTCCTTATGTTTATTATGTCAAAGCAATAAATTTATATTTTATATTCATCACAATTCTATGTATTTAATAACTTTAATACCAGACATCAGTTATTGTTACGACCGTTGCCTAGATACCTGTTTTATTAAAAAGGAGTTCCACAGTTAACGAATTTTTACCGCTTTATACATTGTTGCACGATGAAGGCCTCGGTAAGAGGGGCCCCTAAGCTCGCAAATAAAATATTTTAACGTTGACAAAAGTCCATGTTTTGAGTCTTAAATAACAATTATTAGGGCTAGTTAAGCATGATGGAAAATATCGCTTACCTTTTGTGATACTGTTTTTTTATTAGGCATTTCCTCTCCTCTCACTTTCTGGTGAAACTCACAGCTGCACTGCTCGTTCAGAAATGATTTTTGTAAAATGACTGTAGAAGGTTTTGCAACATTCAAATCTCCTTAATTTTTTAAAATCTTTTTAAAATAAAAGTCGTTATTACCTGTGCAGCGAAAAAACAAATTTGAAATAAGGTCAAATTTGTTTTTCGCTGAACGGGTAATAACGAGTCTTATAAAAAAAAACTATTTTTATCAATTTGAAAAATCAGAAATACAAACGAACAAACATCTAATTATAATCATTTCCGCCGATAATATTAATTCTACCACTTTTATACATGTTTTTTTAACCTGTTGTTATAAAACTGTAATTACTATTAAACACTTATTCCCTAACAATTTGTTGTAACAAGCGACAGATGGCAGCATATTCTTCTCTATCTTTATGGCTTAAGGACTATAGGGCAAAATTATGAGAAAAAAATTAATGCCCAGATGCACACTCTCAGAATTCCTTTAGTATGCATACAAACTTTCAGGTCTCTAGGTTCTTTCCTCTTGGAGCTATGGCGCTAACTGACTGACACACACACACACACACAATGGCTGTTTTACTAGTATAGATACTTCTAGCATTACAATAATAATATTTTAGCTTACCACATTTTTGCCTTATTCCCGCACTATATCCCTACATCTTGTATCTTATTTTTTCTTCATTATTCTGGCTCTCTTCACTGTCTAAACTTAGTTTAAAGTTGCCCATACAGTTCAGTTAATAGCCTTTGCAAACAAGCCAGCCCCTACCCTATTCAAATGTAAACAATCCATTTCAAAAAAGCTCCCTTTTTACCAGTAAACTGATCTCACAAATCCAACCAGCCAACCTGCTCTTCCTTACATATTAATCTAAGCCTAGCATTCAAGTCTACTTATAATTTCATCCCAATAGTTAAGTCTTGGCACTATCCTTGACACAAATAACTTATTATGACTCCTTTCTTTGAGTGCCTTTATTAATTAATGTCTTGCACTTAACGATAAGCTCCTTTGATCTACCCTTCCCTACATTATTAGCCCCTATGTGCACTACAGAGATTGTATCACTGCTACACCCTTTACTATATCACTTACTCTGTCGGTTTTCTTCTCCACCTCTGCCCCTGAATAACATGATTTAATTATTTTATCCCTATTTACCCCACAGACTATCCTATCTACGTGTCGTACTAAAGAATCTCCTATAACAACAACTCCCTTATGTTTTCATTTCCATCCCTATTTGTCCCTGTTGTTGTCCTTCCCTCCTCAATGCACAAACTAAAGGCTGAAATTTGTTGCTTAATAGAATTTTGCCATTATAATTAAATTTTCTAATACTAGCCCTATTACTATTAGTTCTCATTTTAACTACCTGAAAGTGAAAGGCATTATTATCCATTGTATCCTTCCTATGCAAAAGCTTTAACTACCTGAAAGTGAAAGGCATTATTAGCCATTGTATCCTTCCTATGCAAAAGCTTTAACTACCTGAAAGTGAAAGGCATTATTAGCCATTGTATCCTTCCTATGCAAAAGCTTTATTTCCTTTATAAATCCTGCTGCCACTTCCCGCAGTTTATCCTTCTCCTTATCCATAGCCTACAACCTATTTAGAACAGCCTCCAGCTTCTCCTCCAACCGACAAACTCTACATAAAAATTGTACAACTTCACGACTAATCTTCCTTAACTGTACCGTATTTTTTGGTGTATAAGATGCACTTTTTTACCCCAAAATTTGATGTCAAAATCTGCTTGCGTCCTATACACCGAAGGTATGAATAATATATATGTATATATACGATATACAG